TCTGTACTCTCCGCCTTGTCATACCTGACACTCTTTCTCAGATGTCTGCCACTGTGATGGTCACTGGTTCCTGTTCTGGGAGATTACTGTGGTCAGCTCTTAGGTCCACCAGCCACTGAGCATCGGTGTAATGTGATGCTTCTTTCTCTCATATGCTCTTCCATTACCTTTCAGCCTCAGCTTTGGCTGGATCTGTGTTCATGTTCTGACCCTGCCACTGAGAGTGCGCTTTGAAAGGTTAGGCAGAGAACACCCTGTTTATTCTCCAGACCAAAAGAGATGCACTAGATTCACTAGTGTATCTCTTCAGGTGGGAGCCAGAGCTGTGAGGCTTTGCTTGGGACTCCCAGTTTGGGAGTCTCTACTGCCTCTGGGACAGACAGCTGGCAGAAGCCCTTCCTTCCCTGCAACTTTCTGAAGCTCTGAGAGTTCACTAAATTCTCTCTGCACCTCCTTGATCTTGGTCTCTAGCCTCTTCCTCCATGTCCCTCTTTGCTCTTTGTTATTTATGCTGTTCATCTCTCGGACCACTATTGCTGTGGTGTACATCAGCTGGTTGGTCTTGGTGATGGTCATAGTAGGGATAGTTTGTAGTGCTGCATTCACATCTTCCTACACAGAATGATTCAGGCTAAGTAAGCTCTGACACATTTGGCAGTACACCTGATGTTGAGTCACCTGCTTTCCAAGGCATGACATGTGTTGATATACATCTTTACAAAATACAAGTGTAAGGTGATTCGAGTCAGCCTCGGAGTCCACCACAAGTAGGACTGTTGATGAGATCCATATCATAACAACACTAAGCTGGTAATAGATCTTCACTTTCAACTGGTATAGACATTTGAGCAGACATTGCTGCTGGCGTTTGACCCGCTCACAGCCAGGGGAGGTGTTGGAAATGTAATTGAGGCCAGCCTTGACATGGGTGGTCTCAGGGACAGGATGACCCTTTATTGTTGACACCTTGTAATGGACGGGCAGTTGTATTGTCAGAGGAAAGTCAACAGCCCCCTGGAGAGCATGGCCTCTGACTTCTACATCCTCATGCCATCTTTTATTAGACTCAGAATTAGGTTTTAAATCGACACACCGGAGGCTATAAAGAGGGCATTAGTTGTTTTTTTTAATCACTTAATATGAACAGCAGCCATGACAAGGGCAAGGCGTTACACGTTTTTGGAATAAGGTTAGGTTAGTTGTGTCAATTGTTATTCTTTGATCATTGTAGCCAAGCCAGTGCTGTCTGTATTGTGCCAGTTCACTTGGAAGTCATTTCAAGGCACTTCACCAACTAAGATTAGCACCTTACGAGTTTACATTCACTTATAAAAGCCATGTATATGATGGCAGATTTGAGTTTCCCATGACACTTTTTTTTTTTCTTTTACAGTCAGTTTATTTTACAACTGTATATTGTAGAAAGAAATGCAAAAATTCCCTTTGAACAGGCTTTTTAATGACAGCGGATGATGACACTATCGGTGAAAAAATGTCAAATCATATTGAGCAAGTCTTGTGATATCTTTCTTATTTACACTTCTTGTGAAATAATATAGTAAATATAGTCGGGATGACTGATGGTGGTATTTCATTGCTACATAAACACTTGTTTGTTTGTTTTACAGGGGCTGGTGTTTTTCTGCTCACATCTGCTGAGAGCGAGCAGATCAGCTTTCTGTTCGACTGCATTGTCCGAGGCATCTCCCCCACCAGAGGCCCTTTTGGACTGCGGCCTGTTTTGCCAGGTCAGTATCAGAGGGTATGTCATGTCGCTTAGCTGGACGGGACCAGAACATCACCTACATGTCGGAAAGTGTTCCAAACAGGGAAAGCTTGGTTGTAAGAACTATTGCATTGAAGAAAGAAGGTGGGTCTTCATGCGATGCGTGTTTCGATTACAAAAATCTACACAACTGCAAGTATGAACACTTGAGATTTACCATTATTACTGTAGCACCGTGTAACCCGTACAACAAGGGATTTATTGTACCCTTTGTAAATTAATATGCTTTTATTGAACCAAATTATGACTGACAGTTGTTTGTCTGATTATGGGAACAAATTAAATTGTAGTCTATGTATAGGTAGGGGTGTAGTACTACTGGTGGCAGAGCTGGAGAATGTGCAAAGTTCCAAATAGCCTCTAGGTTTTTTTTTAAACTGTCATTACTGCAAGGTTGTATGGATAGATTTCAATTTGTCAAATATGCCAGCCACAAGTATGATAAGCTTTGGAGTTTGTAGGATGAACTGTTGCAGTCTCTACACTGTTAAGCTACTGCTGTCCTGTTTTGTCTTTACTATATCTGTTCAATTTGTTTGCTAAACAGCGTTTCCAGTGCACAGGTGACACTTTGGGATTGTGGCAGTGACGCAACTGTGTCATGTACTTTATTGGTGTTTGCACGGATTAATTTGAGAGAGAGATATTGTCCAACTCTCAAGTTTCTATGGACATTTTAACATCTGTTGTTTTGGTTTTAACATCTGCAACTTAAGGTCCATTTCCTGTTCATTCTGAACCTGAAAAGCTTGTGGTAAGGGATAGCATCTTTTATAAGATGATAATATGTCAGAGTTTTATTTACAGCTTAGTTCTGCTGCCCCCAAGTGGCCAAAACATTTCCTAATGTAGCTTTAAGATTAAAATAAACAACAAACTGTTACTTGGCGAACCTGCTTGTATTTTCCCACAGAGATATTATGGTGAAGCCCAGACTGCAACATGAACACACTATGCAAAACAGTAGAATAATCTACCGTAAATTCCGGACTATAAGCCGCTACTTTTTTCACACGCTTTGAACGCTGCGGCTTAAACAATGATGCGGCTAATTTCTGGATTTTTAGGAGTTTTATGAATTTGCCTCGAGACGAAAGTGACATTGAGAGCGACAACGAAAGAGAGACTGAGGAAGTGTGTGACAAAGTAATTCTGAGGCTGTTCAATTCCGACACTGAAGAACTTTAGTGATTTTAGTGCGCAGGAGGAAGATGAAGATAGCGATCAATGTCTTTTCCTGGTAGGCGACTGTACATATTTTTTTAACCAGCCGTGTTACAGGCACTGTTCGGAAAAAAGCATTTACAGTATTTGTGTATGTTACCGTTAAGTATTTAACGAAGAGTTTAAAAAATCTTCCTGTGTAAATATCTCATGTTACAATGTGGACACCTGCAGCTTATAGACAAAATTTGTTTTCTTTTTAAAGCTAGTGGGTGCGTCTTACATTCAGGTGTGCTCTATAGTCCAGAATTTACGGTAAAAGAATCATACAGAAACATATTCTTGTCCCTGTATATATTTGATATTCTCCTCTTTGTTTTCAACACATTTGAATGCTAGATCCAATACTACTAAAGCTCTTTAACCTAATCTGCTCTGCTGCTGTCCACTTTCATTTTCCACAGTAGCAGTTATGAAAAAAAAAATCCTTCTCCCAGTATGCAACTTAACTGGAGTCGTACAGTGGGCAGCTGTGGGGGGCCTTGTGGATATTCTTGTTTTCACACATCTTGCCGCCCAATCACAGGTTGAGCTCATACTCCTATTATTGTGGCGCATAGTAGAATAAATAGCAGAGAGGATGCTGGGTGGGTTGGGGGGTGGAAGCGAGGGGTCAAAGTCATAGTTCACACAAGTAGAGCAGCCAAAGCCTCCTAATCACTCCGGGCATGTGTGTAACCTCATCCACAGGATTCCACTGCCCCACCCCCCACAGACACCTCCCACTCTGAAGCCCCGGCATATACCCACCCCCACCCCCTTTTCTCATTCCCACCCCCCCCATGTCTTATTCCTAACTGTCCATAACGCTGTGTTTGCTTCTCACTTGGCTCTACAGTCCCTGTCTGTGTCCTCCGTCCGTCCTGCTCAGCTCCTGACTAATTCTCACCGCCTCTCTATCAGCCGCTATTCTGATGAATTAATTGCTGTATTGTTCCGAGGCTCATTTATCTGTTGTTTGCTGTAGTTTTACCGCCTCAGTTTTCTGAGCACATTTCTGCTTAGTTTCCAGGATGCAAACTTTTACTCTCATTGAACCCATTTGTAACATTTAGTTCTAAACAGTGTGTCTATGAAAATGCAAGTGACACCAGCAAAAGCACATGAAGGGAAGAATGCATTTAAACTGTAGATACTGGTAGTAACAATTTGAGATAGACAGGATTATATATCACACAGATTTAGCAGATAAATCTAAATATTTAAGTAAGGACTCTACTATATGATATATGATACAAGATTACTTGATTCATTTAAATATCAACATTAGGACCTTACAAATTATACATAAAGTTAACCTGAAATATTAAGGTTAAAACCTAACAATGCTATATACTATACAAATGTAACTAACAAGTTTTGATATTAAAGTTAGCACCCGTCGATATTATATATCATTCTAATTTGTCTAATTCAATTCGTAACGCCAAGTGTATCATATTTCATACATGAGTTTTTGAGACCTCTACATCATCAGTGTGGTATTTTTTTTTGCCTGAAAAACCCGATGTACACATTCAGTGCACACATAGTCCAACATAGATCGCGATTCATGTGGCAAAAATGCCAGATGTAGCAAAAAAATGAAATTAAAACTCAAGTATGAAAATTGCTATTTAATTTGTTTTTTAAAAAAATGTGTCAGAAGGTTCAATAAACACACCATTTTCCAAAAAAAATTTGAATTTTATGGCAATTATTTTATGGTTCAGGCCTCACAGGGTTTAGGTTAGAAGCTTGCAATTTAATATATTTATGCATATGTGCCTGACAAGTTTAAGTATTCAGGTTAGGGCCAGACAATATTATATATTATACCACTTTACCTATTTTATTTGCTGAGGTTGAAGCCTTACAGTGTTATAAATTCATGTACCTAAACTCAGCAATAAAGGATTATATATTGTATTATTTAATGTTGTACAAATTTACCTAACAAGTTTATATTTAAATATATTCATAAAGATCCACAGTGATATCCATGATGTTAACAGAAGTGTCATTTCATATTACAGATTACATATTCACCTTTGACACACTGTAAAGATAGGTTTAAAAAAGTATTTTAAATATTGTTTGTTTTATTTTTAACATTGATGAAGCGGTATGGACCAGGCACACTTCACACATACTAACATAAGTATTCTCATTGTATTCTCGCAGTAATTTACTTTCACATTTCAAGAAATGTATTACCCTATGTGCAAAACCTTTGGATTCCGAAGATGCACTGTTCTTTTCTGTTTTCAAGGATTCTGTTCCTCCTGAAATTTATTTGATGTGCACAACAGTCAGACCTAGACTCAAATATCACAGCTTCAAACAGTTTTACAGCACCAAAAAATACATAGGTAAAAAAAAGGGAGGAAACCTCAGTGGACCGATACCTCTTTCAGGACTCAGTAGATGTTGTATATACTGAGCAGACTGGACTAATAATAGTAAAATTACAGTGTGGAGAAGCAGAGTAAACGTTACATAAACATACATGACAAACCTGTGTTCTTGGGTTGATATAAAAAGATAAAAGGAAGAATTTGAAAGCTATTAAGACTCCCTGTCATCATCTAGTGGTTTGTCCCAGTGTGTCCTGTTTCACTTTGAGGACATTACTGTACACTAGAAGTCACTACAGTGTGTCGTCTACGTACAGTCTTAACCTTTGACAGAGTTCTGCTACATTTACTACACTACTGCTGCAAAGATGAGAGAGATTTAAAAAAAAAAAGTTTGAGTTGACCTTGGTGGTCCAAGGTACGTTAGATCTTTACACAGCACTAAGAATCTTTAGCCACCAGCAGCAGCAGCAGCAGAGCGCGTACCAACAGAGCCACGTGGCCGCGCTATTAATAAAGCCTGTACTGTTGCACAAATACTGCAAGGTGTTCCCCTGTGTGACCCTTGTCTCTGGCCGTCCAGCAGCCTGTTGTGCTCACAGATCGAATAAAAGTGTACACCACGTTTTTTAAAATGTTGCTTTACTCTTTTTATTTGCATCTTGTGGCTGTTTGCTTGATGCCATGATTTTTATCAAAGATGAGGGAGACTCTCTGGTTTCTCATTTGCTCTCCTCTGCTTCTTTTTCTTCCACTACTTGGATGTGTTGTCACAGCTGTGCCCATGTGACTGTTGCATAAACTGTTCAGCTGTGTCACGTTTGACCCTATATCTTATCACCCTTACACTTTTTTTTCTACTTGAATCTTCATGATTATGACTTTCCAGACTACTCTTTAATGTAAGGGAAATTATGTTCCAATTTCCCTTGCATTAGATGCCGTATGTGCACGCAGCGACCGTCAGTGAACCTCATTGAACCAAATAGTGAGATGGTTGGTGAGTCACTGTCTCGTCCAGCCTCCCTGTACAGTAAACAGAATACAGAGGATGGCTTTATCAATCCTTAATGACGACTTCCATCCTCTACGATGTGAATTTCAGCTTCTTAGTCCCACGGTGCAGTCTAAAGAATTATAAAAACAGCTTTGTTCCTGTCGCCGTCACTGAGCTCAGTAAGAAGTAGTGACATTTGCGCTTTATTTTATTTTATTGTACTTGTTTTATTTCTTTGCACTATCTATCATTGTGACTTTTTAATGAGATTTTATCCCAGAGATTGCTTGTATTTCCCCTATTTTATTATTATTGTGTTTTATTTATCTTGATCTTATTTATTTTATCTTCTCTTTTTACTTCCTTGCTGTTATATTGATGAATGAGCACTTTTTTTAGCGTCTTGTCTTCTTTGTCTTGTTACCCACACAGGTACCTGCCTGTCAGGTTCAATGTTTAGTTTGTTATGGAATGCCAAACCCTGAACCTTGAACCTCTCTTTTCCAGATCCCAATGCCAGCCAGATGAACTCAGAGGAGAAACTGAACTTCGAGGCCCAGGAGCTGGAGAAGCGACTGAGTATGCTCTCTCATGAGAGCAGCACAGGTAGAAAATGTTTCTGTAAAGAGCTTTGATTCCAAATGGAGCTTCCTGATGTGAATATCTTTTTCATAACAAAGCACCCGTAGCCATTCTTCTACCGCAGTGAGGCCCCTCCAAACACTATTAATAATAATGATAATATTGTTGCTAGGATTTAATTTAGGTTTGCAGATTTGACATTACCCAGCAGGTGAATAATGGTTCCTGTTATGTGTTGAATAGGAGGGAAGTGGCTGAGTAAAAACAAGCCTCATGATATTATGATGCCTTATTGATGAAAGCAATGTTTTTGTTGATTAAATTCATGAAAAATGTTCCACTTTTCTCTGCAGTGTTGTCCACATACTGCCTGTCTGCTGGGGCGGACAACCGCAGCATATCTGGTTCTTCAGACGCCTCAGACACCAGCCAGTCGGATTGCAGTTCTGGCAGCCGACAGGCCATTTGGACTGAACCGGCTTCCAACCCACCTGAAAATGTCAGCCACATGGGTTCTAAAGTGGCGCTGCAGATTGCGGAGAAACTTTCCTCCAGCCACGCAGGCGGAACTCGGCCCGCCGCAAAGCCTCCCCGGCAGCTTCAGGAAATTGGACGCCAGAGTTCGTCCGACAGCGGCATCGCCACCGCCAGCCATTCTTCATACTCCGGTAGTTTCTCCTCCTACACAGGCAGCCTGGATATCACCCCCGGAGAGGACTTTGGGTCTGTTTTCAGCTTGCCTCCTCACTTGGCTCAAGACCTGAGCCCTTGCATCTGCCTCACTGTTCCCGGACACGAGTACCAAGTGCCGACATCGCTTCGGTATCTCTATGATACTCCCAGGAGTCTGCTACAGGAAGGAAGCGTGGGTGCCAAAGACAATGAACCCTCCACGTCAACTAAAGACACTCCGGTCCCTTCAGGCTGTTCAGCAGAGTCAGCAAGCGGGGACAAGAGCAGTGCCATAACCACTGAGTGTCACTTAGAAATTACTGAAAGGCAGTCAACAAGCGAACATTTACAAAACCCTTCAGAGGAGGGTAAGAAAACCAGAGTCGCACCCTGTAGTGACTCCTCGGATTCCTGCAGCTCTCTCACATCTGGCCCCAAAACCATTGTGACCATTTGCTCAGTGTGTGGTGGATTTAAGGTAAGTAGGGACACACACACCTGTGTTTTGTTGTTAGTTGTTGGAATGCTAGAAACAGACTTGTGTAGTTTTATTCTCATTGGCACATCTGTTTTTTTTTTTTTTTTTATCCCCCTCAAAACCTTATCATTCCCGTTCATATGGTACCGTAGACCTGCTCTGCCGTATAGCTCGCTGTCATGCAGTGGCAGCTTGTGTGCGCAGGCTTTATCATCAGTGTGTCATCTGTTCTGCAGCTCGCTGTCAATACGACCTTTGTGGCATCGTGCAGGCTGACGGTGTGTTTGGGTGTCAGAACAACCAGGAGTCCCACGGCCCATCTGTCTACTAAGTTAGCATTTTCACATAATTGAGGTTGTCAGTGAATCCAGCAGATTTAGACCTTTTTCGGTTGTGAATAACTTGCAGTTCTCTCTCTTTTTCTGCACCTCTGCATATGTACATTGCTCATTTGGGAACAATGTGTATTTGTTTTTAATGTGGACTATTTACTGCTATCAGGCAGGATGAGAGTTCTGTTGTTTGTGAGCAGTTTGTGTAAACTTCAGCTTGATTATACAGAATGGACTTCTGAGGTGTTGCTCCTTTAGTAGAATCTGAGCTGTTGGATTGTTCTATAAGCTGATTTTCTTCTTGGCTGCTCAATCACAGAGCTGGTGTTCAGTTTTAGTCGTCGTTTTTGGGGTGACGACTACTTCCTCATCGATTAACCTGCAGATTCATCTCATGCAATTGTAGATAATAGCTAAAACACGTGCCCCCTTTTGCATGAAAACAATGCTTAAACAATGGATTTTTTATTTATTTCTTTATTTTACAGTAGTTGACAATTAGTTTTCTGGCACTTGACTGATTAACTTATTGTTTAACTTAAAGATAAGTCAGCTGTTGTCTTTTAAATTGCAGTGTTACATGATTTTCTATACAAATGAGCTGTACATTTGAAAAAACACTCTTATTTAAACACTGAAGCACAAAACTAACTTTTTATTGGAGGATTGGAGTTGGTAAGTTTTAACATAGAGCTCCACCTGCTGGCAGTGCATTTAGTGAAGGAATGCAAACTGCTTGTATTTACTTTGTGTACCGGTGGCTGGGTAAAATATCAGCTCTTGATATTTTCCTTCAGTGAAATGTATTCAACATGAGTCACTGGTCAGAAGCTGATTAGGCGTAAATGCTGTAGGAGGGCATTTATCACCCTCAGCAGGAGCAACACAATCCACAACTGCAGGGTTTATTGGTTCACAGTAAAAGGGTAACAGCAAACAATAGCCACTATATCTGAAGTTGCACAGATTTCATAAGACTTGAACATGCTTGGTCTGGCTGGTTCCCTCAGAGTATGTGAAATAAATGTACTATGAAAACAAAGTAACACAAACTGATGCTGATAATATTTAGTGCATTCAAAGCCACGGCATTTAACAGATCATAAATCAACATATTAATAGAAATGAGCAAATTCTAACTACTGCATGTGATAATAGTCTCCAGCAACTGCATTGTTAAGTAATATTTGCTAAAACCACACAGTGCCTGCCGATTTAAGGATTTTTTAAAAAGTATTTTCTAAAACTCATAGTATGGTTTATGTTTTTAAATTAGTCGGGATATGTTTTTAGGGCTGACACCGAATATTCAACACCGATTGTAATCAAGCAGACTGATATATTTGGAACTATTATGTATTGATGTGTATGTATATGTACATTTGCAGTAAAAATCTAAATCTCAGTGTCCAAATTTTGAATCCCAAATTTCAACACAAAACCTCTTTGAAGTCTTTATATATTTCAAATCCATTAAATTAAAAAAAGAGCTAATTAATATTTATCCTTAAGTGTTGATAGGCTGTTACTTGTGACGTGCAACCAATCAGATGGTGCGATGGGCAGGACATTCCTAGAACCACCGAGTGATAAAGTACAGACAAAGTAGATCAATTTAAAATATTTTTTTGTTTTTGCTAAAAAAAAATATATATATTATTATTACTATTATGTTATTTATTATTATTATTATTATTATTATATTTTTACATTTTATTTTATTTATTTATTTTTTTATTGTATTTATTTATTTTTATTTTATTTATTTATTTTTTTTCTATTGTATTTATTTATTTATTTATTTTTTTAAAGGAAAATGCTAAATATCCGATCTGTTAATCAGCCAGGTCCCCAGCAGCAACTATCGCTTCTAACTTTCTCTCGGGGCGACCTTTTAGCATGAAAAACATTACCTAAGTCAGTTTTTAATTTGTGTATGATGAGTTTGTCAGACAAGGATGCCGAATCCCTAGCTTAACGGTGCTTGAGAAATGACTGGCTGCCGGTTAACATGTCGTCTTTCAGTCACGTTATTAGGAACTGGGCATTTACATGTACACACAGAGGGCAGAAAACATTTGACAATGCCAACTAAAATTTAAGTTATAAACTAGATCTTCCCTTTCTTAGATGCTGTTAGTGCATGGCGCCTTTTGTGTTCACTCTTGCAGCCAACAACACAACATTTGATGTGCTTTGCTCATCATAGTAAATGTAAAAGTCTTGCCCCAAACTAAGTTACTGCAGGTATGTGAGACGTCCTTTCAGGTAATCCAGTACACTGAGGTGGAACACAGGGTGGCCATGTTTATTAAATAAAACCTAATATTGCTCCAAAAAGGCCAAATTACAACACTGCAGGAAACTGTGAAAAACAATACAACAGCTCATACAGTCGCTAAATTTGTAATTAAGCTGTTGGGATTTGAAACAACTTGTTACCCCGCTTCAAAGTGGTTGGTACTATGTGTCAATAGCTTTTAGTTTACACCATCAGTTTCATCAAAATAACAAAAAACAAAAAAAAGATAAAGATTTCACCATGTGGGACCTCTAAAGAATTTGAAACATGGACAAAGTGGACATTTTACAAGCAAGTGCAGCTTAAGTAACGTTTTTCTGACGTTTCTATACGCTTCGCATTGTATAAAAATATATCTAAATCTGTGTAGCTCATGTATGCTGAGCTTGTCGGACAGCGTTGCAGTTTTGAAATCAGGATTTTACCAGTGTGGAGAAGCTGCTTCAAAGTGACCAGTGGTTACATGTGATTGTATTGGAAATAGAAATTAAATAAACATGCATATCAGAACAGCTTTTTTGGGAATTTGGCGCTAATAAATTGTATAAAAGTTGAAATTTTCTACCACCTTTTTGTTTTGTGACCATTTAAAGTACTCCCACACTTTTTTTTTGGTTCTCTGGAACTTTTACAGTGAACCAAGCTGGAGAGCAAGATGCAGCTGACCAGCATCTTAATGCAACAATTATGCCGTGATAGTGAAGAAAAACATTTATTGTAATAAACTGTAGTGAAAAAAGACCCACAGCGCTAACAAATATTGATGTTATCAATGATGTGGACTAATTACGGTGATAATAGTCCTGATCTGGCCCCCGGTCATTATTACCTGTTTAGAAATTTAAAATCTCATTTGCATAGAACCAGATTTCCTGATGAGCTCAAGGCTGCCACAGAGGCATCATTTGAGAACCACACTGAAGATTTTAAAGGTGCAGACAGTCTGAAGGAAATGTGGGCTAGTTACATTTAGGTTGATGGGTACTATATTGAAATATAGTAGTACAACTCATGGTCTGTTGCTGCAATATATACCTCTATCTATGAACTTTTTGACCTCCCCTTATGTTTTCTTTATTATTTCACAGGGAACACCATGCATTCCTTCAAGTTCTTCAGTAATCCCTGCCATACCAGGTAAGGATAATCAGCTTAAACTTGTATTCACACTGCATGCATCTTCTTTTGAATGCATGACCAGAAGATTTGATGCATGTTGGGAAACACCAATGATTGATTCAGGACAGACATCATAGCTGTTGAAGGGTTTTTGCCTCCAGAACATCATAATTTCAATCCGGCAGATCAAAGCTTTGACAAACCAGCATGCAGGCCCAGTGAATGCACTGTAGCAGTGAAGGCAGTTCTGGAGAAATCCTGGGCCTGTCCTGGCTCCGGAGACAACATAGAGACATCGACAGCGAGGATGAGTGAGAAGTCACCGCTGCCAAAGAAAAGAAGAGAGAAGTTAACCAGTCTCTTAGCTGATTTGCTCGGCTTTTCAAGCGCAGACAGGCAGCCAGAGGCGAATGCACACAGATTATATCTGTATGAGTCGATGAGCCCTGCTTTTGGCAGTGAGCTCAATTTTGCACCGATTGTGCCATTACAAGATTCACAGCAAGAGAAAAGAGCGGTCATCTACGAAAACTGCTTGAAGTGTCAACGAGAGCGCTGCCACCCTCCACCGCGGGTCGTTCCTGCAGAAATGTACTGCAACAGGGACATTTTCACTTTGCAAGCCTTCCCGACTGGGCTGCACCCGAAGAAAAGCCAAGATCACGAAGATGCTGCTGATGAGGAGCCTCTCCATCACTGTCAAAGTGATGGGTCACAGAGTGTGGGCGGGCAGTCACAGTGTGAAGAGGTGAATGGTCGGACAGTGACCACTGAAGGTAAGAGGCCTCTTCAGCAGTTTCCTCTTCAACTGAAACCTTCAAGTCACCCTCTGGTGTCCTTCTTTCCTTGTGGTCCTTTTGAAATGAATCTTCTCTTTGTTTCTCTTTTCTTTTCAAGAGACACTTTCCTCCTTGGCTCTTCTGTTTAATCAACCACTTGTTTTCTCTTTGCACTCTGCAAATTTTCCTTTTTCCCTTGTTGCCTTGTTGGGATGTTTTTCAAACGGTATAACCAAAATATCTAATATTTAGAGGCTCTATTAGAGACCTGTGAAGCTGAAAATGAATGCTTTTAACAATGTTTAATGAAGAATTTACCAAAGCTCTTTAGAGCAGATGAGTTAACAAAGTCCCTCAGATTAATGGGACTGTGTGATCAAACTGTAAAAGATCCTGAAAAGCCAGTTATTAACAGATTACTAAGCATTTATTAATGATTTAACATCCAATCTCATTATTACAGAATATTTGTCACTACCAATATTGTTCTAATTCGTGGCTTATAATGGATTTAGCATCTATAAATGATTTATACACTATTATTAAAGCTATTAGTTACAACTTTAATCTTTTAGAAAGGGTGCTTCATTTGACAGCGTTACTAAAAAATCATGTATTATTGATTCATTTTCATGTCTTATTAAAAAATAAATCCAAATTCTCAATTTGTACACACTGAAGTAAATGCAAATAGTCTTAATTCTAGGTGGATGTGGATCCCTTTTAGTTGGGTTCATCAGTTCTGTTTTCTGTTAAAACTGAAGTTCGTCAAACGTACAATATCTGCTGTCGAAGCAATATAATCTGTAATAACTGTACCGGTGTATCAGTTTGGTTCAACATCATAAAACGGTTACACATCTTGAACCTGTTACCAGCATGCACAGTGTGTGATGCATGTCTCTTGCACATTATCTGTTTTTTCCCCCCTAAGCAACAAAAGGACGCTCAGTACCAATTAGTAATAATATGTGGTGTTGTGAGATAATGAGTCAATCCACCTTTTCCTTGTTCTCACCTCTAGATCTGCAAGAATTCACACATAGACACCCAAAGAACACTTTGTCTACTTCACTTCAGAAAGCTGAAGAAAAAAAGCAGAAGCAGTTTGCTTTATGTTCGCAATATGTAATTACACTGTTTTTTTTTTTGTTTCTCCCACCAGACAAAAGGCTTAGTAGTAGAGAGGAAAGACGCAGAGCTGATCCTGCTTACGAGATCATGGAGAGTCGGATGCCGGAAAGGAACTCGGAGGTAGGCCGCTCCGAAATCTGTAATCTTAGTATTATAATTGTCTGATACCAGTTGATGAGGAAATGGCAGCTCATTAAGTTACTGAAAAAAAGATGTAGGAGTTGTGAACATCAAAATAAAAAATCCAATCAGCATTATTTCGTTTTGTATTTATTATTTAATTAGTTGAATTAGAACACGAGAAGCAGGGGGTTGTCTCTGCGATGTTCTTGGTCTATGTGATGAGCTAAAGTTGTAGCATTAAAGCACTGCACTTATTTCATGTTAAGTAGTCGTCACGCTGTTAAATTGTGTTGTCATTTTTAAGTCTATGTGGCTCAGGTGGTAGAGCGGGTTGTCCTCTAATCGCATGGTTGGTGGTTCGATCCCTGGCCCCGCCACAGTCTAAGTGTCCTTGGGAAAGACACTGAACCTGTAGTTGCTCCCAATGGCAGGCAGCACCTTGCATGGCAGCTCTGTCGCCGTTGGTGTATGAATGTGACCTACTCTCAGATAGAAGCGTCTGCTGTAAATTGTAAAATTGTAAATTTTCCTTCTGCATGAAAACAGGACTTATTGCAGGGCTGTTAGATGAGGTTGCATTAGCTAGAGCTGCACAGTTCGTCAAATATTACTCACAATCACAGTTTTGACTCTTCACACTTAGATAGGAGCGATCGACTGCAATATTTATCTGTAAAATGCTCAGTTCATAGACAAAGTCACTGTTGCAACTGGGGTGTATCTGACATTAAAACAACTTATTTCACTCTTAGCTTTTCATCACACACCTGTCTGATTGAGGTGCACCGCAGTAACTCAGTGGGGAGATAGAGGTCTCTCTTTGAATAGCTGCCTAGCTAGCTTCAACCACAGTCTGCATGTGAAGTGTTTAGAGAGCGTTGGTAAATTACAGTCTGATGAAGCTGATGTTCAGGCTAGTGAGCTGTTGAATGAAAACCCCATAAAGTCTCTCGTAAAAGTGTCAGAAAACCTGGAGGTGATACAGAAACAGGGACTTTTTTGTCTGCCTAGAATAAAGAAATACTTTTAGTTTGCATAACATTTGCAGTCCTCTAACGTTTTCTTTGAAATGCTGAAAGACCCGACTTGTAGTAGTCATTATGACTTTGTACAGTATGTCTGTAGCTTGTGCAAAATGCATATGAAATAAATACAAACAATGATATTTTTGAGAAGATACAGCCCTCTAAATCATGCCATAGCAAATACATCCATGTGTGCATGGGTAAACTTGTGGGCGAGCTCTAGGAGGCTATGGGTATTCATCATTTCATATAGTTCTTTGCAACAAATTAAGTGTGTCCCAAAATGTCAAACTACTTTTTTATTTTGTGCTGCATATCGAAAATATTGTTGAGTGTATTTAATTGTAAATTATTTTACTTTACAGCCTTTAGGATTAATAAATGATGCGGGGAATTTGAAATTAAAGTGTTAAAATGCTGGAAAACTAGACAATATACAGAGTTATGTACGCTCTGTATTTCTGATCATGATGAAGGTCCCATCAAGTAATTCCTCAATCCACAATATGAAAGGCTGTTTTTCCTTCCATTATGATGAAGCATTGCAGGCACTTTTCTACATCTTGGACATAGTTGTAGAGTGCTAACAGGGTTCTGGGTAAATTCTGAATATAACCTGCTGTCTGTAAATAGTGACTGAAAATTTGAATCAACAATGCTTACTGTCTGTGTGTTTCAGACAGAAGAAAAAAGCAAGTACGAGCTAATGGGCAGCTGTAGTCAGCAGAGGTTTCTTCAAGAGACTGAAGGTGAGTTACATGAAGTAAATCAACACAGGACTGTCTTTGATTTAATTTATAAAAAGACGTTTTTGTTTTTTTTAACCAAACCAGTCAAATTTGCAAGTTCTCATGTCTATAGTTACACAAATTGATTTTGATTTTTTTTGTTTTTTAAGTGTTCTATTTGTGGTGGTGCATTGCCAAGTCTTCTTACAATAACCAGAACCCACTAAGAGGAAGTGAATTACATAGATGAGCTAGAATCAGCATATGAGCAATCACCTATTGCTCAGCGTCCATGAACTACATAAATAACATGAGGATCATTCAGTCTGAAAAACAAAGCGTGACAGTAGGAACACATACACCACACACGTCATCTTTACATGTGGTGTATGACAGTATCTAAGGAAAAAGCCTGGAAGGGTTGCTGTTATTGTTCAACGTGTCATTGATTCAGAAATCTGCAATATTGGACAATTAGATTAAATCATCTCTGAATATGGGTGAGTTGGGAAAAAAAAGCCATCATGAGAAGTCCTGTCTTTGAGCACATATTAGTCAACTGGTGATATCTGAATCATGTCATAATAAAACAAACTTTCTACAAATAGTCCAACTTGTGACACAGTGTCCATTCATCCATTTTGATCCTATTACACAGTTTCTCGTGAGGGTGAACCTACCACTTAAGGCCCGCTCACATAAACTCAGATTATCAATAAATATATGTCAAGGCATTAAAATTTCCCAACAGAAAAATCTCTCTATCCCAGCAGATCTCTGTGTGTTTGATCATGGTGATATTATGTTGTCCTTCTAATGACCCAATGCAGGGATAATTCCCAAAGAAAATATACAAAGCTACCAACTGCCACGTCTCCTCTAAAACAAGGTTTATACCCACAAAGGCAAGTCGGAGTGTTATTTCGACACTCTAGAACTCCACTCTTGGATCAGGCTTTCTAGAAAAATTTTTGTTTTTGTTGTACAATTCTCTGAAAATGTTCGATATATCAAGCAACAACCTCACAAATAGTTTTTAGAAATATTCTTATGTTATGCTCTGAAGATTTCAGGCAAATCAGAGATGACTGAGCAGGAAGTGTTCTCAAAATTTGATCCATCAGTGATTTCCTAGTAGCCTAACTGCATGAACATAGTTGTATCATGACCTGTGAATACAAGAACCTTCTCCAGTTCACACTCATAGACTGTGTCTATTTGTATGCCTACGTCACGGCTTGACATGAAAAAGAGTTGCCAGAGTAATATGAAGCCTGATTGTTACACTTCACAGAGATAGAAAAGAATTCTGGAACTGTGACCAACTAAAAGTCAGTGGAAGTACACTTGCAGGAGATGACATTTATGGGTGGCGCCATGGCTGACAAGATGTCTGCAGAAGGTTGGCAGAGGAGGAATACATAAACATGATAATTTATGTGTTTTGTGATTGTGAAGGTTGAATCAGGTTTAGACCAGATACAGGTATAGGTCACATGGCATGCTTGGGTAGCTGTTAATGTAACTCACAATCAAGGACTGGGTTTAATGACCATTCCTTCTCATCCTGTTGTAAACGGCTCAGTGCCCCTTTATTTCTTCATTTGCATTTTATGTAACACTGAGTATAACCTGAGTTACGTAACAGGAAATGGCGTCCAGAGAAAGCACACAGATGTGTAACCAAACAGAGAGTGCAGCAATGTGTGACAGACTACCTGCCCTGATGTGAGGTGAGAGGACAGTTGTCAGGGGACGTTTGGCCACTTAAGCATCCCATACGCAGAAACATGACCTCCGTCTAATGCACACCTGCTCTACAAAGTCCCAGCTGCTGTCGCAATGTGGCACCAAACACATCAGTCATGTTCACGTACCTGCACACTCAGCTCAGCTCTCAAGTCTTGTTTCCCGTCATCCTGCTTCTGCAGGCAGTTAATGGATGGAGGCATGCAGGAGGCGGCCAGGTCCATGAGAGGATGCAGGCTCAGTGCAAAGTGAAACCAAGAGTGGAAGTTTCATGTGACCAATGAAAAGATCAGTGTCAGTGCATGTGTGATTATGCAATGAATCTTCCCACGGTGTGATAAATAGAAGAAAAAAAAAAAAACAAACTTGCGTCATAAGCGCATCACTGTATCTAAAACCCTTTTGCCACCAAGGCAGTGGGAGGCCGGGTTTGGAGCCAGTGCCTGTTCTTTGTGTTTTGCCTGCCACAGTGTTGGCTTTTGGCCTGTACAACTGGTTCCAGAGTAACACCAAAACTTTCAGAGCCAAGACATGCTTATGTTAAGGGCTGGAGCAGGATTGTTGTGACCTAAGAGACCAACAAAAATGTTGTAACTGCCATTAAAACAAGCAGCCACAACAAAAAAGAGCTAGTCTACCTAACCCAGAGAAGGAGAAGAACACCCATAGCTTGAGTATGAATATGTAGTGAGGATGCAGTGTGTGGAATGCCCATGATTTATTCGTTTCATTTCCCCGATGTTCAATCACCAGCTGGTGTTCATAAATGACTTGCAGAGAAAGGGTGCTGAGCACACCGGTGCACAGAGCAGCATACGCAAATGGCTACTGCTGTTTGCAATAAACGACAAGTGAAGATATTAAAATTCCAAATAGCATGGAAAGTCAATAAGATAGAGGAGGTTACATAACAACACTGGTGCTTTAACCGACGTATGCAGTGACGTCATGGCACATAAGGCCAAACCAGTTCTTAGTAGGTTGGTAAGTTGAACCATCTCTAAACAGCACCGGCCCAGATCTACTACCTGCTTCATGGAGATTTACAAAAATGTAGCAAAACAAAAATGAAGCTCTGGCTATGACATTTCCTGTGGTTGTTTTGTGGCAAGCTTGTAGAAGGGCTTCACAGCAGCAGAGTACAGCCATGAAAATAACAGATATTTCTCACAGTGCCATCTAGGATCCCTATTTTAAATGGACAACCAATGGTTTCATCTGATTTCTGCCAAGATGAACTTTTATCCCAGACACCCCAACACTGCAGAGTGTATATGAAGCTTTACAGCCACATATTCTGATGGGTAAAAAAAGGGTTAATCTAAGATTTTAGGACACAATTTAAATCAAGTCAAGAGCAAAGCAGATGATTGCAACCAGCTATGAAAAACAAATTACAGTATTTATCCTTTATTTAGTCCCTTAAAATATGGCAACTAATAATGTATAACAACTCCGTTAATGCAGTGCTGTGAAAAAGTATTTCCCTTCTTCCTGATGTCTTTTATTTTGGCTTATTTCTCACACTTAAATGTTCCATGTCATCAAACTAATATTTATATTTATTTAATGTTAGACAGAGATAACTCACAAAACACAAAATGCAGTTTTAACATCATGTTTTATTAAAGTTTTCTTGAAAACCTATATCACCCCTTTGAAAAAGTAATTGCCCCCCTCACCCTAATAACCAGTCGGTCCACCCTTGGCAGCAACAGCTGCAGTTAAAGGTTTGCGATCGCCTGTGATCAATCGTTTTGACCATCCACTCCTACTCCCAGCTACATAAGTCACTTTTACAACATTATAACTTGCTTGTAAGGTCGAATTAAAAGTGTTTTCTTCATGCAGCCGTTTTGATATTTAGCATCACATTTTAACTTGCGGGCGCTTTACAAGTTTTTACTTCTTCAGTTTTAGTTGGACATGTTTTCATCTCCATAAAACAGCTTCATGTCTGCTTTGCTGTAACAACATGTAAAAGGTGGAAAACGTGCTCTCCCTGAAGACACAGTTGTGATTAAAACCGTTTTGACTGTTTTCACTCAGAAGCAGCTGACTTTGTGAGTTTGGGTCACCACCAGGTATTGCCTCTAGCATCTCCCCTGGAGGCTGCGCTAAGTGACTTATTGAAAAGTTGCCCTGCCTCCTCCAGAGACGTGGGTGAAAAAAAAAAAAAAACACTGTTGTAATGGCAGCCATTACAAAACACCACACTTCTGCAAGGCCTATTTGGTGTCTGATCAATTAGGTTAGATGTTGCCAAAAGGCTTGTACCCACCGAGACTCTGCTGGCGTCTAATGGCTTCTCGCTGATTGTATGAGTGTCCTCTGGGGTTGATGCTTCTGAGTTGTGGGTAATGGCCACTGTCTGCTGCCACTTAGGAACAGTCAATAGCAGGTGAACTCTTTCTTTTCTTGCCCAAATGTTTTATATTGCACAGCCTCGACAGAACAATGTAATTACAGCACGGCACATATAAAAAAATGAATAGATGACAAGGTTAAATAATGCATTTTATTGCAGTGTTTATGTGCTGCAGTCTTTCGGATAGGATGGAGAAAGCAGGATTTTAAATTCTATTATAGATTTTACAGGGAGCCAATGAAGAGGACCTAATATGGGAGAAATATGATATCTTGCTTGCTGGTTCATGTCAGAACTCTGGCTGCAGCATTTTATATCAGCTAGAGGTTTTTAAGTGAATTATTGGGACCTCCTGATAATGAGGAATTGCAATAGTAATAGGAAATGCATGGGCTAGTTTCTCAGCATCACTCTGAGACAGGATGTTCCTGATTTTGACAATATTGTGCAGGTGAAAGAAGGCCATCCTACAGACATGCTTTATGTGTAAGTTAAAGTACACATCAAGGTTGAAAATAACTCCAAGGTTCCTCATAGTAGAACTGGAGGTCAAGGCAACACCATCCAAAGTAACTGTCTGGTTAGATAGTGTGTTTCTGAGGTGCTGCTTAGGGCCAAATACCATAGCTTCAGTTTTGTCTGAAGGAAATTATTATCTTCCAGGCCTTTTTGTCCTTAAGACATGCCAGGAGTTTGACAAACGGATTGTTTTAGTTCGGCTTTATAGATAAATATAACTGGGTGTCATCTGCATAACAATGGAAATTAATGCAGTGTTTACTTATAATGTTGTCTTAGTGGATCATGTATAAAGTAAATAGCATTGGTCCTAACACAGAACCTTGGGGAACTCCATAACTAATTATGGTGTGAGTGGAAGAGTCATCGTTAACATTAACAAACTGACATCTATCTGATAAATGTGATTTACACCAGTTTAGTAATCCCAATGACATGTTCCAGTCTCTGTAATAAGACGTTTTGATCAAGCTTCTTCTACACCACTGCAACTCCAATTAAAGTGGCATTTTTCATTCAACCAGTTCATAAAACAGAAATTAAGGAATTTAGTGAAATACTTGAAATGCAAGTCCCTAGTTTGTTTGTTTGTTTCAGTGTTTTTAATAGGTTTTTGATGACAACGAAGGCATGGAGGTGCAGTATAAGCTAACAGGCTGCAGCTACTTAGACAAACTTTTTTTCAGCAGGATAAATTACTCCCAATTTTGTTTTTCTCCGGGAGTTTAGCTAAAAACAAAAAATGAGCAAAACAACACCTGTTCTTAATTTACTCGTGCATTTTCAGGGGCAGTGTTTGTTTTCCCCCCAGAGGCTCCACATCCTGAAAGACCTTGGAGTGAAGGTGTGACATATGTGAATATTCCTGTAAGTCCCACGTCCAAGAAGCAGCTCAACTACATGGAGCTGGAGCTGCAGGAGCCAGGGCATGGCACCAGAGGGACTGCCGCACATCTGCCAGCTCAGAGTAAGAATGCCTTTCAAACAGCTTGCTGATAAGTACAAGGGCTGATATCGAACCAGTTAGAGAGCAAAAACAACAATGCTTTAAGACTCTGTATAATCTGTTTTGTATTGTCCTTCATTCATGTTGAGCAGTCAGGCTGGTGAACACAACCTCTGTGAAGTGTTGTGTAGCAAAATGCTTTATAAAATGAATGTCACTTAAAAGATTAATGCTGGGACACAAATTGATTTCAATAACAATAAATAATAAGCTAATAAAGTTTCTGAAAAGTAGCACTTTGTTGCAAGCGATAGGTTGTCGACCATACAGCTCAAGCCCTTGTTTTTCTACAGTGTGTAACTGTACTCCTACAATCATGAGCTTGTTCTGCTCAACTAATGTATCACAAATGTTCATGGCTTAAAGTTCTCCAAGACTGTGCTGGATTTCTTGGGCCGTTTAAGATTTAAAAATGGATTAGAAAGTATTATTCTGTATTTTTAAGAAACTATTATGTATCAAAATATGGCTGTATATGTACAGTTGTGAAGTTTGCTGCTGATCACATGGGTAGATGGTGGAGTTGAGGTGAAAATGGTCAAGGCACATTTAACCAAATGTTAGAATTTCACTGTATGTGTATTTTCGACTCAGTAGATTTTGTCATATTTCCAGAAGACCTATAATATATCTATGAAGGAACCAAAAAGGCATTTTTTTGACAAAGAAGTATGGATTTCAATGATCATAGAAGAAGTGTCATTGGAAACCATCACATACATAGTCTTTACAAGTGTGTCTAAACTTTTGTTTACGACCGCCGAGATACAGATCGCAGTCGTTGGTAATACCTCTACAGTCACTTGCAAAAGTAGAGGGAGCAAAGAGACAACATAATTAAAGGAGCTCTTGATATTCTTTGTGGCTTTGAAAGTTGTGTTTGGACTTGCGTACGACTATCAGATAACAGTTTGAGACAGACTCAGGACAGGGTAAGTAGATAATGCATTTTTCTGCCGTCAGCTTAACTTGCTGATTCACATTTAGCAACGATTAGGTTTGATCTGAAACAGGTACAGATCTACTGTCCTGCTGTATAGGTTGTAATTCTTGTATAAACCTATGCGGTCTTTGCACCAGAGTAGCGGCCAAATGGACATCCTGTAATAGGCCGTCATTAAAACTAGAAAATCCTCGATGACTTCTTATTCAGATTCCTATTAGAAATTCAGGAGATGAAATAGATTAGATGTACTCGGATTTGTACGCAGAAGTTTGATAATGAAAGAAGATCCACATCCTGAATTGATTTAAAATGAAACCAAAGTGACCTCAGTGTGACCCTCATGTTCCTATTTTTTGCTTTGTGTTCATGTTCACACATCACTGTGGAAGAGCGACTCCTTATCATCAATCATACGTTTTCTGTTTAAATCTAACCGACAGATCAAAGAGCAACCTTCAGCTTAGCCAGTATATAAATATCAAGCAAGGATAAAAAAGTAGATGCGTGATTTGTCTGTAATCGTATTTTACTTTGACAGAGTCACAGTGATCGTTCACAAACGACTGAGATGATTTCCTGTCATCTTAGTAAGCGATAGCTGCGCTCTTGTCATTGGAGACGTGGCAGCGAGCCGTAATTGACAGACAAGTCAGCTATTAGTGTCACTACCCTCGGGAATACGAGGACCGTTGGAGCTCTGACATGAGCGAGGTTAATGTCTAATGTCAGCAATACACTTTATATTCTGGCATGCGGCCTCATTAATCTGTCACCTCAGAGGAGATCCCATCTCAGAACTGAACGGGGGTCACAGTGCATTCAGATCACAGCTGTGACTCCACTGGCTCTAATGGGATCCTCCTCCTGGGACTATTGATGCGTTGTGAGGAGTTGGTTTTGAGTTCCGCGACTTTGAGACTAGAATACATAACTCAAGCGATATACTGGATAAATTTTAGTCATATTCCTGCACATGAGGGGCGACTCTGCATTTAAACCCTGACGTCTTTGCCTTATTTGATTTTCACTCAAGGAAAGGAGCAAAATGATGGTAATTTGAGTATCGTGCATATGGAAGACAGCACATGAAGGGAATTTTCAAGGCTTCAGCTGAGTCATTTGATCATTTTCCTGGTTTGTGCTGTGACTTTCAGCCACACACTTAAAGCAATCAGAGTGGCAGTGAGAGCAGAGATCCACTTCACTCTGAAGACTGGCGTCATGTCAGTTTGGAGCTTTTTATCATTTGTTGAAATTGTGTTTGTTAGTTTTTCTACAACAAGAATAATATTTTAGCAGAATTATCGAATTTTGCTGCAACAAATGATTCCTTCAGTCACAGCTAATTTATTGATCATTCACCCATAATTTTATTGACCAAAGAATATTAGCATTTAGTGGAAAATGGCCTCAGGAACATCTTCAAATGATGTCTTTAATCAACCAGAAGTGGAAAACAAAAAGGTCAGTTTATCAAAAAGACTTAAAACGTAAAATATTTCTTTAAGTATGTGGCTTTAAACAATGAGATTAATTCGCATGCCACTATGACAAGAGCCTACCACCAGCTAGCTTAGCTTGGATCAAAGATTTAAGAAGGAATTAAACAAGATATGCAACGTTAATCACTGAGATTTAATGGTAATGGTAGCTTTATATTTATCTTACTGACAAAGGAACGATATATAACATTACTTCTGTATCAATGTGTTAAAGTGATGCAATCCAGACATTCAGGAAGACATCACTTCACATTAATGTTCTTCACAGCTTTATTCAAACAGACATTACAGAAAGCCGCAATATTTTCAGTGCACGTGATTGGACAGTACATCAAGTTATATATAATGACAAATAATGCACTAATAATCTAAACTAATAGCAACCTTATACAAGACTCGAATAACTAATAGTTCATGATTTCTGTGCATGTTTTCATCATCATTTGTCTTAATACACCAACTTAATATGTATTTTCATTGATATTCAGCCACCTGTTGCCATATTTTGGTGGGATTTGTTTACCTACTATGCAGTTATGGAAAATATCCACACGACTGCAAATAGCCTGCTGTGAGACTGAAACCATAATCATAATAAAATAACTTTACACATGACAGAAAAATATTCTGACTTTAATCAAGTTCGCCACATGGATCTGGCTGCTGTCTGATGCTTCAGGTATTTAAGCAACTCAGAGGAAAGACTCCTACAGCGGGAAACAATCAATTTAACTTCACCTCCCAATGTTTTGTCAAAACTCAGATTACATTCATTATTAGTGGGTCTCATCACTCTCACCTGTTGCAGTCTCTGTCTTTGTCCCAGCAAAGTTAGATTTTTCTGGACATTTCAATTTATGTTTGCGTAGAAATTGTAGAAAAAAAGTAAAACTCAACGTACGTGAAAGGTGTCTTGTGATTTTGACATGTAAGCTGTGCTCTGCCTGTAATGTTTATGCACCAGTATTGGTGATGACATGTGGATAAAACCTTCCTCAAATCACTTCACACAACTTAAAATACATCGTAACCTTATCAGTTAATGTGACGACCTGCAGGTGAGATTTTTTGCACATTGAAAGTTATATGGAAGCTACAAGGTCCAACCTAGTATGTTGCAACTTTTAGGCCTAATTGCTTTTGCTCTGACTCCTACAGGCAGCTAAACAGAAAGTCATCCAGTGATGAATATTTAAATGCTAGACTTTGAGTGTGGTTGAGTTAAAACTAGGTGTTCTGTTGTGTCTTCACAGGAAAGAGCTCCACCAAGTACGCCCAGATCGACATCACTGCCACAGAAACCGCCCACAAAGTCGGCACACAGCACGCCCTCGGCCGTCAGGAGGGCTTACACACTCTGGAGTTAAGAAGAAAGGGGACGCCGCATTGACTTATCCTTTACTGAAACGCTCATCTTATCAGAATGTTTTTGCCCAACAAAAACCCTCCACATCAAACTGTTAAGTTGGCAAGAGATGTGGATCTGAGGGGCTTACTGCGAGATACCTTCTCTGTTCTGTTCCATCTTGTGATTTTCAGCCAGTTTACACTTGCTCCAGTCCTAGAAACACGTCCTCCGTCCAATATCTTCTGTTATCGACAAAGCAGCTTGAAGATGGAGCTTCCGAAAAGGTTTCGCACAGGGTCAGGACCAACGTTTAAATTTCAGTCTGCTTTGGGAACTTGGACATCTCATTAAATGGCATTATATCAGCCTCGGAGCCTCAAGCGAACTTGGACGGATATGCGTTAGAGTTGAGTCACCGGCCCCGATAAAACCCGAGAGCAGCGACAATTCACAGCTCACTTCCCTGATTACAAGCAATATGCTGTTTTTGTTCCCGTGTGGGAGAAGAAAGATGGTTATCCTCACGAGAAGTTACCGCTCATTTAGTTCCGAGTGAAAACTTTCAGCATAATCAAATTTGGGTTAACTTACCATGCAGTCTTAATCGGATCAAATTCAGCTTGACGTGTTGAAAACATAAGAAGATAGAATTGTGTTTAAAAGCTGGATAAGTGATGGTAGCACTTCCACATTGTGCATGGTGACTTTTGTTAGCCTGGTTATAACTTATTATCATATGAACACAATCACAAAGCTGCTAATTTTTTTTCTTTCTGCGTCACAGTTCATTATTATAAATACTGCAAAGTTCAGAAAACCTTCTCTAAAAATCAGAAGATTTTTGATCACTCCATGTTTTTTTTTCACATTTACTGCAGTTATTTTAAAAAAGTTTTTATTTTGTAGAGTTACCCATCTTAGTAGATAAAGCTTTTGTCTAATCACATACGTAGGTCACACTTTATTTTAATTAGCTGTAAATACATTTTATTTCTATTTAGGCGATGTGGATTGTCATAAGATACACATGTATGTACAGTGAAGACGTATGAAAAGAGTTCAAGGATAGTGCTTGCTTTCTAGAGCAGTATTTTTTTTTTCATATATTTGTTCTTGTAAATTATTTATAATTGTAACTATTACTTTGATGTGGGCTTTTTTTTTTTTCTAGAATTACAATAGATCGTATTTGTGACTTTTTACCACGTGCACAGTTGTCAACAACTTTGGTACCATATTATATAAAGCAGCCTCACAATTATTGTGTCTGTTTTCATTCAAAAGTAACTGGAGATGTTTCATTATAGACAGTATGAAGGCAATTCATGCTGATCTGTTGTCATCAAAGTAAATAGAGTATTTATGTGTGTGCCGTTGAAATAATTAGACTTTTTTGATATTTAAATAAATAACTAATTGCTTTATCCCCCCCCCCCCCTTAAATTCACATGCAACATGTGATCTTGCTGCAGTGATATACGAGGTGTGTCAGAAAAGTTCCAGAACTGGTGTCACAAAAGATAGATTTCAAATCCAAACTACAAGTTTTCAACCAGCACGTCTACAAAGAGATCCTGTGGCTTCATTTAGTGCGCGAGAAGAGGCAAGAGTTGTGGCAGGACAAGTCGTGGCTGCTTCACCATGACAACGCCCCTGCTCACAGTGAGCATCCGACAGTTCCCGGCTGAGAAGAACATCACCGTGCTGGCTCTGTGGGATTTTTTCCTTCTCCCCAAGCTCAAGGGGGTCATCAAGGGGAGCTGTTACGAAGACATGGACGACATCAAGATGGCTGTTAAGATGAGGAGTGCATGGCAGTGTGGCAGAGGAGGCTGGGAAAGTGTGTTAGACTCCAGGGGGATTACTTCGAAGGAGAAAACTCGTAGTTTGGATTTGACATATATCTTTTGTGACACCAGTCCTTGAACTTTTCTGACATACCTTGTATATCCGCACCCCAGGACCATTTATCACTGATGTGTGTGGTTACAGGTGAAACAAAGAACGCTTTGATCTCATTTGAAACTATGTTGTTACTCTTTACTGATGAACCGTAAAATGCAGCCATGACAATCCTTTCCTTGCAGCAGACATGTGCCACTTTGTCACATATCACATCTAGTGGTTCTCTGACAATTACCACCGTGGACAAAACAAAGAACTTATTATTCACTCATCAAGCACATCCCAGCCTGGGCTGAACCACACCTTCGTATGTGGACAGTCATTCAAACAGGTCAGCAGCAGCTATCTTGGACTTCTCATTGATGACAAACTAAGTTTTGATGTACACATCACTGCTGTCCAAAATCAGCGAGAACGCCATGTTCAACCCATCTTCTATTCCCCTTTGTTCACATTTTGGATAAAAACAAGATACCACACTTCCTCAAAAGTCATCAGCCCCACCACTCCCAGCCAGCCACATATGAATGACAGACTTACTGAATGTCTCAGTAGTCGTAGCAAACAACACAGATCACTCCCTGAATCCATTTTTTTACGCTGCTATTGTCCAGTTACAGGTCAGTAGAATGTCAAAGAGCTCGCTTTGACTGAAGGTTTTCAGTTCTGTCCTGTTCCTTTTTATTCACAGACAATTGTTTGGGGCAGGGGAATTGATGATGTATGTTGTGGAATGGTTAGGTGTATGTTTTGTGCAGACATACTTGTGAAAATGTATCTCACTGACATAACACAAGGAGCTCCAGGACTACACCTATAAACAGCAACAACTTGATTCAAATTTGGCTGCTACCCTCTCTAGCGATACACTTGCACTCCTGATATTTGTAACACTCTGTAAGTCCCATTCTGACCATTTACAGGTGTGCACTTGCAATTTCATCTCATCTTTCTTTCCAGACAGCAATCCTCATACTGTCTGAAGTGGATCCACTTTTCTTGTCAAGGATCATCACTGGTGATGGGAGTTGAGTCAGTGGCTACGACCCAGAGACCAGTGTTTAATGGAAGATCCCCAAAAACTGAAGCAGGCACATCCAGTAATGGTACAAACAACAGCATGGTCATTGTTTTCTTTGACATCCGCAGACGTGTGGACCAGGAATTCCTCTCCAGGGTCAGACTAAGTTCGATTGTAATGTTCTGAACATTTGACGTAAATGATCATCGTGACACAAATCGGTTTGAGATAGTCGAAGAGATCCCGCGCAGGTTGCAGATGGTGGCTGACGTACTTAATGAATGGGAGAGAATGTTCTAATCATAGCACGAGTGATGCACTAGAAGATTATCTAAAAGGCGATCGTGGCCAGATTTTGGCACAGTCTTGTAAACTTTTGATCGCAGCTTGTAAAGACTTTATTTCTACAATGAGAATACTTGAACTACATTTTTTGTACAGATGGTGCACCAGGATCAATGCTGGCCAGGAGACACTCATCTAAGTTTTGTTTGCTGAAAGGATGTGGGAGCTGCAGCTTGGCAGCGTGGGAGCTTTGGAAGAGAACCACAGAGGGTTCTGCACCTTATTTAGTCTGTATGTTACAGAGCAGGCTCTAAAAATAAACCACCTTGCAAGGGAATCCCTACACAAGTTATAATGCTCACAATATGCTGATGTTTAGACCCATGATTACTCTGTACTGCTACTGAAGTAGCTCCTGCTCCAGTGGTTGTCTCCAGGACATTTTACCGTGATTACGCACTTGTTCACAAGGAGAAAACAATACCAGCCATGCTAGCACGACAAAGGATTATTCATTTCTGTTACACAGATTTTGAAGATGGTTATTTATAGTCTGCCAGCTTTTGGAATGACATAGATCACATCACTACGTAAACCATAGTTAACTTTACTGACCTAGAATGAAACCATATGGTGCAGTGAAGTGCTTTTTGGAAACTTACTGATCAATTGACTGTCTATGTGATCAAATATTAAAATAAATAATTATTAATTATGTTTAGTCGACTGAGAAATAGGCAGTAGTTTAATTTACTATGTGAATCCACAGACAGCTCTTGTGTAATTGCTTGCCTGCGTTCACAGAAAAGGACAGCAGTTGTAATCTCTCCCACTGTGCCCACGAACAGTGAATACACCACAGGTCTAATTCAGGGCTTCCATCTGTCTACCAGAGCTGGAGACCTGAGACTCGGTCATAAAAATGAAGACCTGCGAGACTTAAAGATGGGGTAGGCAGTATTTTGGCGGAGGAGAATATTGTAATTTGGCAGATCCCATGTGTTTTCAGAGAGAGTGTTCCAACTGTTTTACAAATGCGGATGCACATCCATTCAGATGGTGGAAAGTTGCATTCAGTAGAGGAAAAATCCAGCAGGAATCTTTTGTTTTTCTCATATATA